TCCATGTTGAGATCCAGAGTGGCTATGAGGGGATCCTGCGTGTGTCTGTGTGGTTCCTGAGTGCCTTTCAGTGTCACTGGCCTCACTGACACTAGATCCCCTTCCTGTAGTCTTACTGGATTCTGTCCTGGTGGCTTGACCATGCCCAGACCCACTATGTCCCCTGGTATCTCCTGACTGGCCATGACTACTTCCCTGTCTCCCTCTAGCTATGGATCCTGACTCTCCATGTTGAGATCCTGAGTGGCTAAGAGGGGATCCTGTGTGTGTCTGTGGGGCTCCTGAGTGCCTTTCAGTGTCACTGGCCTCACTGACACTAGATCCCCTTCTTGTAGTCCTACTGGATTCTGTTCTGGTGGCTTGACCATGACCAGACCCTCTATGTCCCCTGGTATCTCCTGACTGGCCATGACTAGTTCCCTGTGTCCCTCTAGCTGTAGATCCTGACTCTCCATGTTGAGATCCTGAGTGGCTATGACGGGATCCTGCATGTGTCTGTGAGGTTCCTGAGTGCCTTTCAGTGTCACTGAACTCGCTGACAGTAGATCCCCTTCCTGCAGTCTTACTGGATTCTGTCCTGGTGGCATGACCATGCCCAGACCCACTATGTCCCCTGGCATCTCCTGACTGGCCATGACTAGTTCCCTGTCTCCCTCTAGCTGTAGATCCTGACTCTCCATGTTGAGATCCAGAGTGGCTATGAGGGGATCCTGCGTGTGTCTCTGAGGTTCCTGAGTACCTTTCAGTGTCCCTGGCCTCACTGACACTAGATCCCCTTCCTGCAGTCTTACTGGATTCTGTCCTGGTGGTTTGACCATGCCCAGACCCACTATGTCCCCTGGTGTCTCCTGACTGGCCCTGTCTCCCTCTAGCTGTGGATCCTGACTCTCCATGTTGAGATCCAGAGTGACTATGAGAGGATCCTGCGTGTGTCTGTGGTGCTCCTGAGTGCCTTTCAGTGTCATTGGTCTCACTGACACTAGAATCCCCTCTTTCAGTCTTACTGGATTCTGTCCTGGTGGCTTGTCCATGACTGGAGTGTCCATGTGTACTCCTGTCTCCTGACTGTCTTTGAGTTTTTCCCTGTCTCCCTTCAGCTCTTTCCCTTGTTTGACTCTCAGCTGAATCTGATATTGTCGTTCCAGATTTTGGAGACCCTTTTCCTGAACTAGTCTCATAGCGTTCTTTTTCCTGTACCCTAGGGTCATGTTTATCATAGCCAGAGGATTGACATGAGGTCAATTCATGTTGATCATAGCTAGATGACTGTCTTGAGTTGGATCCATGTTGACTATGTGTAGAGGACTTGCCTGAAGATGACCTAGAGCCAGAACTGGAGGATTTCCTTGACCTGGAACCATGTTTGCCGTAGGTAGACTGACCTGATATAGACTCATGTTGCTCAAATTCCAAAGAATGACCTGAGCCAGTCCCAGAGGCAGGAGATTGATGTTTACTAGATCCATATCCAAAGCTAGAAGATTGACCTGAGCCATATCTATGTTTTGCAGAGGAAGATTGATGAGAACCAGACCCATGTTGTCCAGAACCAAAGGACTGTCCTGAGCCAGTTCTGTGTTCTCCAAAGCCGGAGGTCTGTTTCACACCAGATGACTGCTCTGAGCCAGACCCATGTTTTCTAACACCAGAGGACTGTCCTGAGCTAGACCCATGCTGACCCAAACCAGAGGACTGTTCTGAACCAGATTCCTGTTTTCCAAAGCTAGAAGACTGACCTGAGCTGGATTCATATTGTTCATAGCCAGAGGACTTTCCTGAGCCAGACCTATGCTCTCTAAAGCCAGAGGCCTGTCCTGAGCTTGACCCATGTTGGCCAATGCAAGAGGACTGTCCTGAGCCAGACTCATGTTGTCCAAAACCAGAGGTCTGGCATGAACCAGAGCCATATCCAAGGTTAGAGGATTGACCTGAGCCTGATCTGTGTTGTCCAAAGCCAGAGGACTGCCCAGAGGCAGACCCATGTTGTCCACATTTAGAAAATTCACTTGAACCTGGCCTTTTTTGATGAGAGTTTGAAAAGTGTCCACTAGAACTAGGTCCATGTTGACCATAGCTAGAAGGTGAACTTGTTCCAGACCCATATTGTTCACAGCAAGAGGACTGACTTGAACCTGTTCTCTGTTGTCTTCCACAGTTCTGTGTTTGACCACATGCTCTAGATCCATATTCTTCCTGACTAGAAGACTGGCTGCAGGAGCTAGACTCATATTGACCATATCCAGAGCACTGACCTGAAATACATCCATGACCTAGTCCACCACTACTTCCTGACTGACATCCTGACTGGGTACAGTTAGATTGATTTCCTTGCCCTCCAAATCTACCTTCCTGACAAGAAGTAGAAACATTTTGTGGCCTTCCACACCCACATGAGTTGCTGGAACCGCATACATAGTTTTGCCTTCCATTGTCTCCTGAGCCTCTAGAACTAGATCCAAGCTTTTGTCCTCCACTCTGTCTTGACTGAGTAGAGTTTGATTCATGTCCACTATCATCCAATCCATGTGACAGACCACTATGACCTTTCCTTCTCCTGCTCTTTAATCTAGATCCAGATTCATATTCCTTCTCAGATTCCCTAGAGGGGCTAACGTGTGACTTGTTTCTTCTTTCTTCCAGCTCCTCAGAGCTGGAACCATGTCTTTCTTTGCCACTACTCCATGAGTGACCAGAGCTAGACCAATGGTGTCTTTTCTCAAATTGCTCTTGGTTTCCTGAGCTAGATAAACCACCTTGCCTTCCCAGCCTCTTGGAGTTTGACCCATGTCTATGTTTCCTAGCTCCCCTTAAACCCTCAGAACCATAACCATGCTCCTCTCCCTCACTCCATCTTGAATGTCTGTAACCTGATTTCTGTCCTGGTGTATCTTCTTCTTCCTCTTCTGTTTCACTTTCTTCCTTTTGGTGTCGATGACCATGGCTATGCTTCTTTGACCCTGAAGCTTTGCAGTATTCTTTGCTGAGAACCTTGTTGCAGGCCATAGCCAGCTTGAATACCATCAGAAGAAACTCAGTAAAGTCCAGTCTTCGGTCATGATCTCGATCTAGCATGTGCATGATAACATCCACTGTATCTGGATCATCTGGGTTCTGTATATAGGTGACATACCAAAGAAGACCTAGTCAGCCTAGCCCACATAGGAAGGTAACATATTCAGGTAGAGCTGTGGAATTGTGGATGTTTAACATTAGGTATTTTAAATCCAGTCAAGTGTTACTTTAAACTAAATCAGCCTAATAGGACCCAGCAGGTGAGAAGAAGTAATGGAAAAGAATAAAATCTATCGGGAATACCAGCAGAATATAGCTCAAGGACCTCAGCTAGGGGACTAGTACTCAGGTATAGCATCAAATTGGTACCTGGTGTATTTTAGTTTTACATGCATTTTAAACATTATATGCTGATATATTCTATGTTAGAATATATCATTTTAAAGGTAATAGCTGAGTTCTTCCCAAGTAGATGGAAGAAATACTCTCTTGTTTGCAGTTTTTAGTCATCCTGGCTACTTGCTCAGCTCTCCCTGTAGATGTTTCCGTCTCTATACTTTTTATCCCAAATTTGAAAGGGCAATCTTTTATGTTTTAGCACACATTTATATTCTGTTTTTTTCAGAAGGGGAAACCTGGAGGCATGAAAAAGTCTGAAGGCCTACATAGTGGATATGTACAGGAAAATGAAAAAACCTTCACCTTTCTAAAAATAATGTCCCAGAAGACTTTCTGATGTCCCCGAAAAGTACATTCCTAGAGTTGGTCCAAAAACCATTGAGAGTGTGTACTTTTTAGCTAATCTTTGGTCACATAACAGAGAATTTACAAGACCCTAGAAGCCTTCAGTCCTGGTGTATGGATTCTCACCTTCAGAATTGGACGGAACTCTTTCTCCAGAAGTTCCTTTAGTTCATCCTTGCTCAGTGTGCCACATTCCCCATCTTGCTTGGTGTATTTGTAAAAAACATCAATGACCGTGACAACACTTCTCAAGAGGTCAGTCATCTTTTTGCAAGTTTAAGTGAACCTGTAGAAAAAAGAAACAAAAGACGCTATTATTCATGTTCTTTTTAAAAAAATCTAGAAACAATTCTGATTTTAATAATAATCATGATGATTTTTCAAATCTCTTGTCTCTTTTAAACCTAAAATACTATTGTATTGCATGGAGAACTGGGTGTGGTGCATAAACAATGAATTCTGTTATGCTGAAAAGAAATTAAAAAAACACCTAAAATACTTCAACAAGTAAGGATGAGTTAGGGATCTTTCAATACAGTGAAAATTGTTAATTTTGAGTTACTTAGATAAGATCAAGTCATTGTTGCTGACTGAACTAGGATTAGAGCTCAGATCTCTATGTCCTGGATGAATATAGTCCTTACATAATGTCTCTACACTTTGTGTACTTTGGTGTTCTGGGTGTTGTCCTGGAGCTTCCACAGTTTCTAGAACCACACAGATGTATTGTCCCAGTCTCTCTGGTTAGTTTCACTGGTTCTTTTGAGTCAAAAGTGACAGACCTTGTATCATAACCATTTCTCCTCTGGACACTAGAAACTAAACAGGATTGTTAAGGCCTTCAGCAAATAAACAATGAGCAAGTTACCCATTACCTTGGTGATTCAGAACCATGAGATAGCCCTCAGAAGAGCTCAGGAACTATCCTAATCTCAGCTTCAACTAAACACTTCAATCTTATTCTTTTTCAATAACCAGGGAGAAAGGCTCAGCAATGCAGACAGTACGTTTCCTAGTGGATGACTGGATCTTAGAGACTGAGGCACTGATATTGAACAGGGAAGGGACTCTACACCAGTGCTGGCCTCCTCTCTACTTCAGCTGGCCAATCCAGGAAAAAAAAAATGGCATACAAAAGACTAGGAAGAGAGTGTGGAATAGTCTAGAAGAAGGTGAATTTCTTGCATTATTCATCTTGGCAATAAGAAATTTATTCTAAAAAGACCCCAGGATAAATGAAACTAACCAAATAAATAAACAAAAAGAAAAGAAAAAGAAACAAGAATGAAATGGCCAAATATATATTAACTCTGACTTAACTCTTACTCCTGAATTTCTAATGTGGACAACAATCAACCAAATATCCATTAATGTAGCTGGATGAATTTTCTCTCACCTGGTTCACCAAAGGAACACGTAGGATAAATCCTGATGCAGCTTGCAGGGTGACCAGTGGATTGAGATAGTGGCCTTTATATAGCTTAAAATGTGTGGGTGCTCTCCTCTGTGGGATGGACTACTGATTCATTTCTAATCAAATCTAACCCCACCTCTGTCATGTTTATCTTCCTACTTCTTCACATTCTTATCTTTGAGGTGATTGCAAAAAGGATGGTGCTGGTTCAACCTGCAGTATGAGGACATGTTGTAGGACACTTTTTTCAGGGTCATACACTTGTGAAAATCAGAGAGTATATTTTTGAGGACTCGTGTAGTTCATTCCTTTTATTTAGTACCCACAATAAGTAATGAAGTGTAAGATACTTGATAGCTGTGCAGTGAAGGCATATTCAATTGAAAATGAACATAGGCCATGAGCCTTACCTAATTGATATCTTTTTTGCAATAATAATAACTACCAGTTATTGAGAATTTACTATGTGCTCGATATTGTGCTGAATATTTTTCAAATTTCATCTCATTTAATCTTTATAAGATTTCTATGAGATTTGATTGTTTATTCCATGAGAAATCATTAAGAAGCATGAGTCTTCTTCAAGGTCACACAGTCTGTAGTTGGAGGAATTGGGGTTTGAATCTGTAGCTGCCTTATTATAAGGTATTTTCTCTCTTTTTTTGAATTTTATTTTTTTCAGGGTTCCAAGATCCATTGTTTATGCACCACACCCAGTGGTCCATGCAATACATGCCCTCCTTAACCATCATATTAGCTTACCTCTGTATATCTATCACATACACCTATTATGTAGAAAACTTATGCACTGTTTTAGGAGTGTCAGGCCCACCCAAGCACAAAATTACAAAAGAGTGATATAAGGAGTACTGTCAGCCAGGAAGACAAGATAAAAACTATGTACTGAATAACAACATAATAAAAAAAACAAATATTCTTTGGCCCCATGAAGGCTTTTTTCTAAGCTACAAAAGTATGCATTAATAGGTTATACACAAAAGTGATGTTTTAAGAACTGTTCAGGGTGAATCTAGAGTGAACTTTCTTCTTGGGATTTTTTTCTGTCATCTTGCTATCCATTGGTTATCTGGCAGCTTTGGACCTAGGCCCTTGGGCAAACGTCATTTATATATATAAAGTCTATCAAATATAATATCTTACAGAAGTGAAAATGATCAGAAAGTTGTAGTAGGCATGGAGATGCAGCTATTCTGTACTTTACCACCAGGTGATGATTCTTCTGCTTCTGCTGAAGATAACAGCTGTCATTACTTAAGTACTTACTATCTTCTCTATCTTCTAGGCATGCTGGCTTTACATATTTATTTATTTATTCTTTTTTTTAAAGTTTTTTTGAAAAGAATTTATTTACTTACTTGACTGAAAGAGAGAGAGAGAGAGAGCAGACACAAGCAGGGGGAGTGGCAGGAAGAGGGAGAAGCAGCATCCCCTCTAAGCAAGGAGCTCAATGTGGGACTTGATTCTAGGACACTGGGATCATGATCTGAGCTGAAGGCAGACACTTAACTAACTGAGCCACCCAGGTGCCCTTATCTATTTATTCTTTACAGTAACTCTGTAAGGTCAATATTAATGCCATAATCATTTTACAAATAAGGTAATGAAAGCATAGAGAAATTTAATAATTTGTCCAAAATCAAGGCTAGTAATTGGGAGCACTGAGACAGAAACCCATGCTATTTCTGAAAGTTGGGCACATCTATAACCACATCTATAGGACATACTTGGGGGTGAGGAAGGTTGATTCCTATCTGGGTGATTCTCCAGGGAAGCCATCTTAAATTATTCACCCCACTATCTAGATAGTGCCTAGAATTTAGTAAATACTTAGAATGGGTCTCTGTTCACAAAATAATGGTTACATCACTGAGATATACCCATTACTCTCATAGCCAGGGAGCCCTACACCAAAATGGCCATGCAGAAAGTTGTATTGTCCCCTGGATACTGTGGTCATTTTCAGTGGTAGGCATCTTTTGGAGCTGTGCTTGTTTTTGCTGAGATGACTGCAATGTCAGGAAGATTTTTCAGAGCCCAGACTCCACACCAAGACAGGTTTTAAAGCCCCACTTGCATGGTAACTCCAGCTTAGAACTTTGAAGCCAGTTCCATTGCTTGCCTCTTTGGAACTCCACTATGCACTCTTGTATGTTCTGTGTGTTCAGGTTTCTCTTCTTCTTCTGACTTGCTAACAGGGGAAGAATAGTAGTGAGAATGATTTTGAGCTCCAATCTGAGCTCTATCATTTCCTGGTTATGTTCCTTGGAAAGTTCTTTAATCCTCTGAGCCTCAGTTTTCCAACTTTATAAAAGTGGGAATAATAACACTGACCTCAGTAGTGGAGGTTGCTTAAGATAATATCACATGTAGGAGGCTCTCAATCATGTTAGGTAAAATTAAGTTAGAGGCCAACAGTAGCTGGCTGCTTTAAAGGCAGAGATACTACTTCTCTGTGTAAAGCATGATAACTCATGATTATTTTTATTTTAAAAATAACAGTTTTACTGAGATTAACTTACACACCATAAAATTCAACCTTTTAAGTTGTACAATTAAGTTGTTTTTAGTATAGTTATGGAGTTGTGCAACTAAGTCAGGCTTGTCATGGTATCTGTGTCCTTAAATAATTTACCTCACTTGGCAGTGTTTCAGTTTTCCCTCTGTAATAAGCACAAAGAGGTGTTAGTGGTCCACAAGAGGATCCATGTCAGACCATTTCAGCTGGAACTCTCAGAAACAGTTAGGGTCCTACCAGAGCTCCACTTTTTGGAAAGGAACCAAAGTGATGATCTCTAAGAATTGATTGGATGACACCTGCAGAGATTTTTGCCTGCCTGGGTTCTGAAAGACAGTTTAGTCCAGTGAAGCAGAATCCTGGAGCCTGGAGCTAGGGTGCAGTCTCAGCTATACCATTTCTCTGGGTCTGGGCCTCCTTCTTGACCTATTCTACTTATCTCATCACTCTCTGCTCATTCCACATTTATACTGTTCTGAGTTCTCTTCAATTTTAGGTCCATTTGGTGAACTTGGTGCATTATTGGCCATTAGATTGTCTTGAGGCAGAAGCAATAACTTGGAATGTTAAAAATAGCATCATTATACCTATGGAAGTACCAGCTTCTGTTTTTTTCTTCACTGAATATCAGCTGAATTTTGTTTTAATGGCTCATCCTGTTCAAGCATGAGTTAAGTTAAAGTACTTCTGCTTTGGCTTCCTATCATGTTCAAATGGAATTCCGTGAGGAATTGCCTTAGGGCCCAAGTGGGGCTGTGCCTCTCATAACAACCAAGCACTTTCTCTGTGGTGGGACTCTTAGGAGCCCCGATTTTGGGGTTTTTCAATGAACTCTCCTAAGAGCTGATACCTGGGTGCTGCTTTAGCAGACTAGAGCATATTAAATGCCTCTTTTCTCTAAAAGTGGTTTAGGGAGCTGTTCTTGACTCATGGTATGATGCAGTAGGAAGAACATTGACTTTGTAGTTAGACAAACTGTTTCTATACACAAGCTCCAATACACTCCCTGTAGTACCTTGGGCAAGTTTTTAAATTTGTGTCTCTCTTTCTGCACCTGTGAGATAATGAGGATAATATCAGACATGTGGGAATTAGATGAGATAAAATTAGGATATTGCTGAGTACCTGATATGAATTTAACACATTCTCTTTTCTTTTTCTTCTTATTCTCAAGTTTAATCTGATTAGTAGTTTATCTGTAGTATTAGGATGTGTTGGTTCCTGGATATGATTCTTAACTCTCTTCCCTCCTGGTAGCCACTCTTCTGAAGTGAAATCAGAGGCCAATTGGGATGAACTGTTGGAATCCAGCCTTCAAAGAAGTTTTGCATTTCTGTTATGAAAAGTCCATGAGGAAGGTGGAACCACTAGCTTCACCAGATGAGAATGCCCCCAGATTCCTTTTTTATTTTACCACATTTTATTGGTATCTCAAGACCCATGTGCTGGAGCAATCGTCTCACAAAGAGATGCTGCTGACAGATACACCCAGGCTTTCAGTCTGGAATAGGAGGCTTCAGTAATTTCTGTCTAGATCTAACTGAGATGACCATCTGGGACCTCTAGATGTTCATTAAATTCTACTTGGGGCCATTTCTGAAGGCTGTGTCTCAGATATTTAAATGGTTCTTGTTGTCACAATATCAATAACCTGTGATGACAGTACTGATTTTGGAGACTTCCTGGCTACATAAACCTAACTCAAAAGGGGGAGGAACTTGTATTAGCACTGAAATTCTAGGATTCACTAGATGATCTAGAATTTGTGTTTTGACAAGTAAGGCAGCTGATTTTTTTTCTTAAAATAATCTGAAACATGTACCAAAGTAAGTTCCCTGAAAGGTTGTATGTATCTGCCCAAAATGTTGGGAGAGGCTCCTTCTTCAAAGCGTTTAGAGCAGTATGTCCTTTTAAATATAATTTGGTAGATCTTGGAACACTGAAAAATATAAAATTAAAAAAGAAAAATAATAATTTGGTAGGTGAAAATATTGACATTTTAATCATGAATTTGATTTTGGAATCATTTAAAAGCATTTGGGATCATGTTTGGTAAATAAAAAGAATAATGCATGAAGTTAAAAAATATAGAGTCCCTTGTTCAGTGTAATGAGTGATACACTAAATGATACACACAGTGATACACTCAGTGATACACTGAGTGATACACTCAACTAATGAATCACTGAACATTATATCAAGAACTGGAGAAAAGGGAACCCTCTTACACTGTTGGTGGGAATGCAAGTTGGTGCAGCCACTTTGGAGAACAATGTGGAGATTCCTCAAGAAATTAAAAATAGAGCTTCCCTATGACCCCGCAATTGCACTACTGGGTATTTACCCCCAAAGATACAGATGTAGTGAAAAGAAGGGCCATCTGTACCCCAATGTTTATAGCAGCAATGGCCACGGTCGCCAAACTGTGGAAAGAACCAAGATGCCCTTCAACGGACTAATGGATAAGGAAGATGTGGTCCATATACACTATGGAG